CAAAGCGAAGAAAAGGACCTTAGTCCTTCGTCGCTGGCAAAGGCAAACCCTAAAAACCCTCTTCTTCGAACCTTTCTCTCTCGCTACCTCTCCATTCGCGATCTCAGAGGTGACGATTCTTCCCCGTAATCTTCTCATCGCACAAGTTCACGACACCAATCTGCTCATCGCTCAAGTTTGGGGACCCGTTTCACAAGTAGGCTTTCTTTTTCGAATCGCGATTCCTTTCATACATGCTCTACCGATTTGTGCCCTCGATGCGCGATTCCTGCCCTCGATTCGCTATTCCTTTCATTTGATTCGCGATCCCTTTCATTCGCAATTCCTTTCATTTGATTCGCGATTCCTGCCCTCTATTCGCGATTCGTGATTCGTTTAATTCTAGGGTTTCGTAGATGCTCTTCCGATTTGTGCCTCGTGTGAAGTCTCTGTTGCCCCTTCTTCGTTTTTTGCCACTTCTGCTTTGTAGTTGTTTCACATGCAATCTTTGAAGACTCTGTTATCAGTTCGGTGAATTTGGGTCGAGGGTTGAGGTATTGTGGGCAATTCAGAGTATGCAATTTTCTTCGCCAGTAATCTCATAGTTACGTTCACTGAGTTTTGGCGTCTGATTTTGTTTCCTTTTTGTGTTTGTTTGTTTCTTCTGGTCAGTCTTGGTTGCCAATAAGATTCGTTGATGTGTGGGGTTTTAGAAGTTTCTGTTCGAAAGCTGGGGGCAGTTCTACTGCTCATATTTGCTAATGATCTTTTGTTAATTAAGACTGTATGCTATTAGAGGATAGTGTTGTTCTACTTAACTGTCAATTGACATCCCCTCTATTCAACTTATATTTTGTGATGGAGTACATATTTCGATTGCTGAAATTGCAAAACACATAAGTTGAGCTGCTTCCCAACTTACTAATTGCTTCTTATCATTCTTTATCTTGCTGGATTTAGACACTGCTTTCAATTAATTCAATAAGAATCTGCCGACTTTTCTGTTTGGGCATTTGACCTATCTTGAGATTCATTCGATGGAGTTTTTGACCATTATGACAAACTTACTGGTGTAGGTATGCATCCACTCAAGAAGAAGAAGGCCGCTGCTGACAAGGCTGTACCTATCGCTGAGTTTTATCGGGCGACCAGATCAGGGAGGGTGCGCCCGGAACCTGCTCGGTCCACCGAATCTGTAAGCGGGGGGAGTGGACGTCGAACTAAAACCACAGTGAACGAGGACAGTCAGCGCACCGACACTGTGCATCCAGAGGAACCCAGTGGCAATGACGATTCGGAGGAAGAAGCATCCAATCATGACAACGGAGAAGGTAGTAATCCAACTGGATTAGAACCACCCCCTGCGACAAAAAAGAGGGGACTGTCCAAAGGGTATGAGATAATGAAGAGAACCAGAACTGGAGGAAAGATAGATGGAATTTACGTAATGGAAAATGGCCAGTCATTCGTAGGGCCAAATGAGAGCTTGCTGAAGACAGAGTTGGGCGTTGTAACACGCCTGATGGCCCCGATACGGAAGTACTACTGGTCCAAGTTGACTGAAGCAGACAAGCACCCGTTATTCAAGAAGCTAGAGGTAATTTCCCAGTACTGCTAGTTTGATGTGAAGCTAGTTGTAATTCTTTTTAGATAAGTATAAAATGCAAGTTGTATATCTTTTTAGAAATGTGTTATAATATGTTCGTATATGAACTATATAATTGTTTTTTCATGTAGGATGAATTTGACATAGACACAGCAGGTGAAGATGCAAGGAAGATTATGGAGAAGAGAATGAAGAAGCGGTTCATCAATTACAAGTATGCGATGCATGCTCACTACTTGAAAGACCCTGAGAAAGCCAAGACAGACCCTCCTGTTGACATGAATATAGAGGACTGGCATCTGCTGTGTGATCACTTTGAAAGTGAAAAGTTTCGAGTGAGTAAATCCATCTGTTTCATCATAAATTTCCTTTGTTACCTTGTCTTACAATCAAAGGTTTCTTATTAATTAAATTTGTCGTATGCAGAAGCGAAGTGAAATTAATAAAGTCAACAAGAGTAAGCAAGTGTATGCACACACTTCTGGTGCAAAATCTCTTGATCAAAGAATATATGAATTGGTAAGATGTCTACAATTCCATGGAACATTTATACGGTATAGTTATGTGATTAAAATCTGCCTCAATGTAACTGCTTTGTGTAGGAGAAGAAGAAGAAGAAGCAGAAGCAGAAGCAGCAGGAGCAGCCTACTGGAGAGGAGCAACCAACAGAAATGGAGGACGGTGAGACCGTAGAGGAGGAGCCACTAGATCTGCTTCTCTATGCAAAGAGGTATCAGAAGGCTGACGGTAGTTGGGTATCGGAGGAACCTATGAAAAACTATGTGAGTCCGACCATATCACTTGCATTGTTTCATTTTCAGAAGTTCATAGCCAACCGTGTCACCTGTTTCATTAACACTTTTTGTTCAATGTGCAGCTGGAGATGCAGTCCCTTTGGATAGAAGCAAAGGCAGAGGGGAAGCCTGTATCAGGCCGTGAGATTGTTCAGACGGTCCTGAAGAAGAAGCTGAAGTATGGACCCAAGGAGAACCCAAGATCAGCAAAGGAGCAACAACTCCAAGCGGAATTGGAGGCAGCAAGAGCTGAAGCAGAGAGAAAGGCTAAGGAGTTTGAGGAGAAGATACAAAGTCAAGAAGAGAAGCTAAAAAGCCAGGCCGAGAAGATACAACTCCAGGAAGAAAAGTTACAGAGCCAGGAGGAGAGGTTTGAGACTCAAGAAGAGGTGATGAACCAAATGAAAGCTGCCCAGGAAAAGTTACAGCATCAAGTGCTAGTGATTGCTCGCCAACTACCCCTCAAATGAACTGCCAAGTCCAAGGTAACAACACTGCATCGGTTTGCAGACCCAGATGAGACTCCAAGCTATTTGTTGGTGTTAGAATTATGTTAGTTCTGGCTTTTGTGAACAAAGTTACCGTGGTTTGTGTACCAGTGAACAAGGAGTTTCATGTGTTGTGTCATGGTGGAACTTAGAATGTTTGTTTATGTTGAAAAAGGAGCTAGACTGTTATGGGGATGGAAATGGATGTACTGTTTTGGATGGTTGGAAATATTTCCATGATTAGGTTGCAAGGCAGAATGCACTATCGCATTATGGATTTTGTCAAGCAGGCCAAATGTGACAACACTGGAAAGTTGTCATATTATGTAAAGTCCATGACAAATTGTCACTTTGTCATATTACACAGAAGTCAATTAAACCAGCTTTCATGACGAGCTATACTTGTCATAAAACGCAGTTACGACAAAACCGCCCCGTTATAATTATAAGTTATGACAAAATCTGTTCGTCCTAATGTACACAAATGACAAAATTGATTCGTCATAGAAGCAGTTATGACATAGGATATTCGTCATAATATAAATTATGACAAAATCAATTAGTCACAACAGTGGGATGTAAGAGTACAAAGCCAGTAATATGACAAAATTAATGACACAAAATATTGTCATAATAGATCCATTTGTCACATTTTAAACATATCCTGACAAATAAATATTTTGTCATAATAGGCGTGGGACAAATTACTAACCTTTTATGGCAAACTTTGTTCGTCACAAAATCATGTTATGACAAACTATGATCGTCTAATATGACAAACACTTTTCTAAAAATTAACAATTTATGACAAATATAATGACAACAATATTCGTCATAATTTCTCTGTTTGTCACAATAGACCACCCAGAACCTCATATATAACGGCACCAGATGTGACAAATGTTCAAAAATTTTTCACATTTGACCTATCTTGACGGCGATAAAATGACAAATCCTTGTGACAAAAGCATTTGTCATATAAGGTCAAATATGACAAATAAGGTATCCAATATGACCAAATGGACGCGTCATAATAGGCCGAATTTGTTGTAGTGTACATCTCAGTGTCCATACTTAGATACAATGCCCGATGGTGTTAAAGAGTACACCAAGTGGAAAGTCATTGGGTACAATGCAACGGATCTGACAATGCAAGATAAAGATTTCCCTCCTAATTAAAGGAGTATAATATCAATGAATTCAATAGACATATACGAGATCGATGCGAAGATGGATCTATATCAAACATGATAGATCCATGAATGGAACCTCCTCATGATAATTTGTAACAAAATATTCATAGTTTGCAATATGTTCACAAAAGAGGATGACTAAGTTCCTTTCTCCTTGTTGACTTGGGTGAAGATGTGCTTCTAGGTGTTGCTAAGGAAAAAATTCAAAAACCCTAATTCTAAATCGTTCATATGCACGGTAGGGTTGCAATGATTCCATTGTTACAGAGAAACAGTTGGAGCTATTGATAACAACAAGGGCTACGACAACTTGGTAGGAGCATATACTATTATAATGACTTTGGCGAAGATGACTGATCGTTAAGCAAATTGATTTTGATACGTCTATGATGGTCGATAAACGATGATACATCGTTGCACCAATTCACACATCAGCTTGATGTTTAACAACTTCGAGGAGGATAGGGTAGCAATGGAGGGTTGTTTCGATCAAATATTGAGTACAAGGTTATGCTCGAAAGAGAAGGCAATTGATGTAGAGCCGTTCAAATGTCATCATCATCATCATCATCTTACTATCTTAATGGGTAATATCAGAGGTTAATTATGGTATAGTGCATTAGCATAATTGATAATACTAGAAGGCGTAAGTGCATCATCAGTCATAGTGCATCATCAGTCATCATCGCCTCCCCCTGTAAACCGTCTTGTGCTAGTACTTCTGTCCCCGGAATGCTAATCTCCTCCTCCTCTTCCTCCTCCACTAAGGCATCAAAGCGGGTTCCCGAGCTAGGCCTTGACGATTGAGGAGGTTGTGTCTGGCCAGTTTTAGTAATATCAGTGCGCTTACTCACCGATTTTCGTGACCGTGGCTTGGCTACCATCCATTCCCCATAAACCTTAGGCGGATTCGGCGCCTTAGGAGCAGCCTCCTCCAACTCTATTTTCTCCTTCTCTGGTTGCTTGAAAAGGGAAGGGCACGTCTTAACTGTATGTCCGTACCGCCCACATTCAGTGCAGATTTGATGCAGCCCTTCAAACTCAATATAGTAGTCAACCCTTCTATCTTAAACAGCGAGAGGAGGGGCTTAGTAAGATAAACTTCGACACAAACGCGAGCAAATCTTCCCATATCCCCATTCTGAGTAGGTCGATCCACTTTGACGGGGCAACCAATCCTGGAGGCGATACGCTCCACAACCTCCCTGTTAATGAATTCAATTGGAATCCCCGAGAACCATGCCCTCACGTGGTCGATGCCAATTCAACAGTCTTGGGATTGAATCCCTTCCTCCAGGGCCGGACAGTCAGGTAGTGCCCACCAATCATCTAAGAACCTCCTGTCGCAGCCTGTTCATAGTCCATTTGGCTAGTAAATGGGACAACATAGAAACCCCGTGATAAACTCGATATTTGTAACGTTCCGCACTTTGCCAATAATGACTCCAGCCTCCAGGAGACAACCTGAAATGGAAAGGACCTACCCAACGCTTTAACAATCAAGGCAGAACGTCATTTGCAATGGTATCGCTGCTTCTCCATCACCTTGAAAGGTATGGTTGGACATCTTGGATCGTCATCCTCTGGGATTTCATCATCCATACCATCCTCCTTCAACGCAGCTGCGACGTCTTCGGAGTCTGATTCGGCTATATACTATAAATCCTCAACGAGAACTTTGCTAAAGAGCTTCCGCAGGCCTGACGTCCAAGCCGTTGAACGATGCTGGCCTTCACGGCTTTGCGGAGAGAAGTCCTCTCCTTGCATGGGCTCTGACTCTGGATTCGCAGTATCTTCCACCATCGGCGAGCTCTCAAAAAGGGGGTTCGAGCTCATCGATTTCACACGTTTCTTTGCCTGTTGGCAGTGGCCTAGCCAGGATTTTACTTAAGGTGGGTCCGACATAAAAATAAAATAATATAAAATGAATGAAATGACCTATAAGGCGTTTCATAGTCTGTCGACATATTTTCGTTGGAAGGTGGATAATTCGATACTAAATTAGAAATTAGTAAATTTATAATATATAATTAGGGACACAGTTTTATATAAATTGAAGAGTTATTTATATAATATGCAAGGTTCATGTGTACCACAAAGTTTTCTAAAATTTATTTGTAGATAAGTAAACCCAGTAAACATGATGTAATAGGTTCCAGAGTTATTAATTGTGTACAACTATTGTTATCTGTGTAATAATTTAGCAAGGATTGTAAATTCTTAGCAGTGGTTGTACTAAAAAAGTCAATAGTATGATATTTATGTTGAAACCATGGTTTAATCGTGATTCCACCATTTCATACTACTAAAAAACCATCTACGATTTAAAATTCAATAGAAGGTTTTCTCGATCGAACCACCTATACAATACGATTTTACAAACACTATAATCTTGAGCCAAGGTGTGTCCCGGGACCCACCTTGTTATGAGCTGGCTCCGCCACTGCCTGTTGGGATCCCTGTCCGTTTTGCCATTAGGGGACGAAGTTGCGGACGGAAGCCGCCGAGAGCCGGCATCTGAATCAGTTGGCCGGGGTACCGGGGGAGAGGCCCCCGGTCTGGCAGCACTCATTGTAGATGGCGGCGACGCATAGGGTCGGGACACAGAAAAGTGCCGCTCCGGAAATATCGGAGCTGTAGGGTTTCCAGTTGTTCCTTGCTAAGAACTAACTGAAGCCTAGAGTCGTTAATTGCATTTTCTGTGCTTTTATGCAAGATGGTGGTAATAAGGAGAAGTGAGTTAAGTGATACCTTTGATGAATTTTTAAGGATAAAGGACTTGTTGGTTGGGTTGATCCGCAGCCGAGATACGAGACATGGATACCTATTTACGGGGAACTTATAATGTGATCACAATGTTCTAAGTAAGTATGAATTCCTAGAGTTGAGTTTATCAGAAGTTACTACATCTAAGTGTCCATACTTTGATACTATGTCTGATGGTTAAATAGTGCACCAAGTGGATAGTCATTGGGTACAAGCACTAGGTAGTAGGTATGTAAGGGATCTGACAATGCAAGTTAAGGATTTCCCTCCTAATTAAAGAAGTATAATATCAATGAGCCCTTCGATGAATATTGTCTACGAAGTGGCTGGCCAAGCCAAGTCAAATGATGTGTTCATTTGAGCTTGAACTCAATAGACATATGTGGGATCGATGCGAAGATGGATCTATATCAAACATGATAGATCCATGAATGGAATCTCATCATGATAATCTGTAACAAAAGAATCATAGTTTGCAATATGTTCACAAAAGAGGATGGCTAAGTTCCTTTCTCCTTGTTGACTTGGGTGAAGATGTGCTGCTAGGTGTTGCTCAGGAAAAATTTAAAAACCCTAATTCTAAATCGTTCATATGCACGGTAGGGTTGCAATGATTCCATTGGTATAGAGAAACAGTTGGAGTTCTTGACAGCAACAAGGGCTACAACAACTTGGTATGAGCATATAGTATTATGATGACTTCGCCGAAGATGACTCATCGTTAAACAAATTGATTTTGATACGTCTACGATGGTCATACACGATGAGACATCGTTGCACCAATTCCCACATCAGCCTGATGTTTAACAACTTCGAGGAGGATAAGTAGCAAAGGAGGATGGTTTCGATCAAATATTGAGGACAAGGTTTTGCTCGAAAGAGAAGGCAATTGATGTAGAGCCGTTCAAATATCATCATCATCATCTTACTATCTTAATTGGTAATATGAGAGGTTAATTGTCGTATAGTGCATTAGCATAATTGATAATACTAGAAGGCGTAAGTAGCAGTAGCATAGACAAATAGATTCAAACATAACAAGCCATCTACTGCAAACTTCAGTCCACAAAGGCACAAACAATCTCTGACCAAAACAAAACAGAGTTCCCCTGCCTCAACTGGAACCCAAAACAACAAAGAGGGAGGGAATGGACAGAACAAAACTGCAGCACTTCTTCTAAGAAGCCAAGCCACGCACAAGAAACTCTCTGGTTTTTCAGACACAAACAAGAGTTCTTTGGATCCCGATGAGCAAGTATTCGGATTTAGCAGCAGCAAACGAAGGAGAGGAATCAACGAAAGTGAGGGAATCATCGGAAGAGAAAGCGTCGAAGCTGTTGGAGTCAATGGTGAAATCTCTATCCTCTTCGGTGATGGTATCCAGCATCTTGGATGATGCTCTGCGCCTCATGATACTAACGTACCGTGGCGGTGCTACCTCTGTGATGAACTTTGCTATGTGGGAATTCGCCATTTTGCTTTATTCTCTGGATTACTACTAAAGTTTCTCACTTGCTACCGAAAAAGAGCAGAAACAGAGGAACTAGTTTGTGTTGTTGTTGTTGTTGTGTAGGAGACTCAAGTTTGGGAATTGGGATGATGAGAAGGAATAGAGCAACTATGGCTGTCAGATTTATAGGCTAAGTTGGAGGGGTGGAGTTACGTAAAGGGTCCTGGTCAAGCCAGGGATTGGGGGGTAACGTGATGGAGATTAAAGTAGTATTTGATCAGCTAGTGCCGCCTCTTGCTTTTTGTATTAAATTGCAGTAGTGGTGACAGATGGGCGAGAGAGATAGATCGATGTGTTTCTAGCTAGGTAGCTAGTTGGTCTCTTGAAGAAGAAAGAACATTTGAGAGATGGGTTTATGTGTCGTCATGGGTATCGTGGGATTAGATGAGGAGAGGAGATTACCTTTCCAGAGAGAGGGATTTGCTACCTTCCAAATGAGCACTTTTCTAGCTTTATGAGGGGATCTTAGTAAGATCAGCAAAGGAGTTAGTGGTTAGGTACTTAGGTTAGATGGTTTAACCAGAGTAATCAGGTTCTGATATCATGTCCATCAAATATTAAGTGTTGAAATCCTACTAATATGCGGATGTGAGAGAGGGATATGATCCATGATCAACCTAGCTAGAGTAATTCAATACTTATTTGTTTGGTCATCCCTACTAAATTAGATAGTAGGATTTGCTCTAACAAAATAGAGATAGGCATGCGGGTATTGTAATCCATAGGGGTGGAGAGCCGGTCGGTTCGGTTATAACTGATAACCGAAAGGATTGGTTATTAGTCAACCGAACCACCTCCCAACCCAACCGGCCACCGACCAAAAGAGGGCTTAAGCCTTTGGTTATCACGGTTTTTGGTTAACCGAACACCCCCCAAGGCCAAAACCAAATCACCCAGCCTCCGAACACCGACCAAATTTCGGTTATCTCGGTTATCGATTAATAAATAACTGGCCAATTTTGGTTATAACCGGTCTGTTAACCGCTAACCGGTTGTCCAGCCCTAGTAATCGATGAAACTAAACCGTTGTGATGAAAAAGACCAAAAATTTCTGTCTACATGAAATTGTGTTATTTTGGCCCAACCACTGATCAATGTAAAACTCGGTGGTACCTTTCATGCTCTCTATTTGATTATTTGACAAGGAGGTAATTCTATTGAACTTGAGTGCCGTAGCTGACAGGTAGCGTTGTTTGTTGACTGGTGCAATGGCTGGCCAATAGATGCCCCTCTTCGCAGGGAATTAACGGTCCAAAATTGGCTGCTAGACAAAGTGTAGATTATTGCTGAAGTTAAGCTTTAGGATGATGATGGTCCTAGAATTGAATATTTCATTTAATTTGCAGAGACTATGGATTATAAGGTCATAATAGGAAGATTCAGACATTAAGCGCTCATGAGTTGACTTTCGTTTGAAAAGGTGTATAACAGAGTAACATAAGATTTATAATTAAACTTCTCTCAACAACTGAGTTATTGAAATGAAATTATTTATAACAGGCCATAATTGACTTGATATTAAAGGTATTTTTATTTTTCACCCGAGAAATCTCTTATCTTAAAGTTGACAACCCCAACTAACAATTGATTTAAGTTGAAGAATGATAGGTTTGTATAATTCAAGCACACATTACTTGAGTGGTACCATATATGTTCTTCGGACATCAGTTTACATAACATGTAAGAGAAGTGAAGTATATGTTTGAGCTTTAACTTGACAACTGTTGTAATTTGTAAAGGAAGGACACAAGTTTTCTGGGAATTGTTTGACGATTGAAACTTCTGTCTTTCCTGCCCTAACGCATTTAGCCTTTTATGATCGGTTGCCTCTTGTCCATGGACGTATTCACCAACAG